TTAAAATGAAGAGAGATAAATTTTGTAGAAAGGGAAAATATAGAGAAGTGAAAAAAAATTAAAATTGAGTATTTAAAACCTCCTAAAATGGCATGATTTTTTAGGACTGTTCAAACACTATAATAGCAATATTTGACTCATGCCCGACCCGCATCCATGATCACAATATGCTTATTTTGGAACATTTGGATAAATTATTTTAGCCGTTCTTTCACTTTTGTATTTATTGTCATCATTTTTCTTATTTAATTTTTATTTTGGCCCTTTTTAATTTTTTATTTGTTGTAATTTAGTCTATCAACATGTATAATTGCATTTGAGCCCTTTAATTTCTAATTTCTTTTAATTTAACCTCATTTTGCATATTAATTACTATTTCAACCATTGTAAGTTCCTTTTCCTTCAATATAGTCCCAAAATATTTACTTTATTTACTTAAGTTTAGTATTATTTATTATCATTAATTATTATTATTAAAACCATTTTCATGTTTCATTTATTTAAAAACATTAAGATAACATGTTTTGTGAGCAAGTTATCAATTTTGGTGCAATGGGTTTTTTAACATTCCTCATATGTAATTGTATTTTGAAACCGATTTTGATTTAGATGTTAGATACAAACTAACATTTATGGTTATTCGATCATACTTAGTAAAAAACAATCGATGGCAACTCTAATGACATGACGTGCTCTTCAAAGTCGAACTCCTTGGAGTTTGACGGGACCCTACTTGCTTTGGCACATTACGATCCTACGTTAAGCCTGGAGGAGTTCGACTTTGCACCTTTGGCGGTGTCGGTGAGGATACACGAGCTCCAGTTGGGGCTTATGCGAAAAGCCACGGCGGAAAAGATTGGGAACAAGATTGGCAAGACAATTGCAATTGACATGAGATCCGGGGTAGGCCGTATGAGAAACTTCCTCAGAGTACGGGTTGAAATTGATTGCACGAATTCGGTGAAGGGAGAGGTACATGGATTGTGCAGATCAACCAGTTAAGGTAGTGGATTTCATGCTCCCCGACTGTCCCAGATGGGATGAACTTAAAGTCATGAGGGTTTTGTCAAGTGAAGATGCGTCACAGGTGCTGAAGACTCTGATTACACCCATCCATGGTGATAAAATTTTGTGGTGTCATCATAGTTCAGGCTCGTACTCCGCAAAGTCGAGCTACAATTGGTTGAAGATTCAGAACAGTCTGACCTTGATCGCGAAAGGCATCTGGAATGTTGTGGCTAAGGAAAATATCCTCCCAAAGATTAGAATCTTCGGTTGGAGACTTTGTCACGAAGCTCTTCCTACGGGGGCAAAACTTAAACAAGCAAATCTTGGGGATGGAATTTGTCAACTCTGTAATGAGGATCTAGAGTGGGCTTTGCACGCGATTAAAGACTGCCCCAAGTCGAAGATAATTCTCTTGCTGTCGGGCCTCCCTCAGGATATTGTGGATTGCTAAGGAAATTCCTTCCTCGAATGGATAAGTCGGATATAGTCAAAGTTAAACCGAGAAGGGTTTGATTTGTTCCTTACATTATTATGGAATATTTGGAATCGAAGGAACAAATGGATTCACGATGCGGAGTTTCAATCGGACAGAGACGTTATTTTTAAAGCGTGAAACCTTCTCGGGGAGTTTAAGCAGGTTGCTAAACCGTTCGGTTACCCTAGTAGAGAGACCCTTCTTCGCAGACTTCACAAGTGAAGTAAGCCGGTGCAGGGTATGATCAAGATTAATGTGGACAGAGCGTTCAGTAATGAGTAGCACATGGTCGTAGTTGGGATAGTGGCCTGTGACTCGCACGGCATGGTCCTTGGAGGAATCGCTAAAAAGATTGACCCTCCATTTACGGCCGAATCCACGGAAGCTGCTGCGTTCACTTATGGTATTCGATTAGCTACTGAGAATGGGTGGAGCAATGTGACTATTGAAGGGGATGCCATCTCAGTAGTATACAAATTGTCTAATCAGACCACGAACAAGACCCAATACATTTCTACAGTTGGATTGTTTCTCAATGAGGCTCGATCGCTTCTTGTTGACTACCCTTCTTTCAAAGTGCACTATGTTAGTAGGGAAGCGAATAGAGTGGCTCATACATTATCTCAATGGGCCCTATCGAACCACAATCCAGTCTGATTTTTCCTGGATTGTATTAAACAACTTGTAATTGATGATGCTATTGGAATATAAGTATTTCTTCCTTAAAAAAAATCATTACAAAACAATTTTGACAAGTAAACTATAAATTCTAATAAAATATTTTACCAAAAGATTTGTGTTAAAAAAGAAACACATGAACTGGATCAGACCAAATCGAATTGTTCCTACTTAGTGATTCTTTCCATCACCAATAATATCAAATGCTACCTTGTATGAATGTATTTAAAGAGAAATTCTATCGATTCTATGTTATAGTAATAAGAGTACAAATAGGCATAAAACTAAATTTAGATTTAAACATAAATATTGTTTTTGAAGATGATTTAGATTTAAACATAAATATTGTTTTTGAAGATGATTAACCATATAATTTATATGTAGAGGTGACAAAAGGATCATTCGGATCGAGTTTAGATCAAATCATTTCAGTTCAAGTCATTTCGAGTGATTCAAATCAAGTTCGGTTTGAGGCGAGTCATTTGGGTTTCAGGTTTAATTCGAGTCTATATTAAGTTGGATCGGATCGGGTTTATCAGATTGGTTCATTTTTTATTTGGATTAATATCGGATAGGTTAATTTTTGAGTTAGGCCGATATCAATTATTGATATATTTTGTTTTGTAAAAAATGTAATTTTTTTAATTTCATTATTTTTGCTCAATTTCATTCGAATTTAATCATCATTTAGGATGATAATTTAATCCGAACTCGACCTACAAGACGTGTTAGAGTTTGTTCCCTTTATTGTTAATCTAGCCTGAAAAGTTTGCGGTGTAACCTATTTTATAGAAAAACAAAATTTTTAACTATAAATTTTATTATCAACTAAAATTTTAAACTAGATGTTTAATTATAAATATAATGTTTTTTATTTAATTTAAAAATATAATAATAATATAATAATAATTATTATATTTGAATAAATATTATTTTAAATAGATTTATATCCTCGATGATATTTTAATTTTAAAATATAAATAAAATAAATACTTTTATATTGTAAAAATAAGAAATTTTTATATTAAATTTAAATAATTTATTTTTCTCATATATGAAGGAATTAAAATGATTTGGAAATTATTTTAATAGTTTTGAAAAGTTATTTAATTGGTTCCAAAGTAAAATATTAAATTAATAGATTATGATTTGATTTAATTGGTTTAGAGACCAATTTAATAATTTTTAATCATTATCTGGTGGAATCAAATAATGAAATATTAAATTATTTAAATGATTTAGATATTAATTTAATATTTTTGGATCATTAATTAATAGTTCTAAAGTAGATATTAAATTAATAAATTATTACTACATTTATAAAATTAGAAATTTAGATAAAGAAATTAAATAAATTTTTACATGAGATGATAAAATTATTATTATTTTACAAAATTAGATTTAGCTTGTGTATAAATATTTAATTTTATAGAAAAAATAATTTTATTATAATTAATTAATTATTAAAATTAATTTTATTTTATTTAGTTACTAGATATTTCATTAGATATATGAATTTTAATATTTAGATATTTAATTAATAAAAATAATTAAAGTTCAAAACAAATAAATAAATAAATAAATAATATATATATATATTACTATCTTATTATTTATCGCATTACTAAAAGTAGATAATAAAAAATAAAATGTTTGTTCACTTTAACTTAATAGTTAGGCTAAAATTGGGTCAATATTCAGTTCGGATTAGGTTTGGATAAATTAAATTCGTGTTATTTTCGATTACTTTTAGTTCTGTTGTTTTTGGTTCAGGTTAATTTGATTCGAGTTTATTTAAGTTCGAGTTACTTTCGGTATAGGTTACTTTCTATTCGGGTTCATATCGAGTTTGCTAAAATTTAGTTCAGTTTCTGTTCGATTCAGTTTGTTCTTGAATCAAATTCGAATAATCGTATTCGAGTTTATATTGAATCTCGAATTGGATAAATCGATTCAAGTAATCAGATTCGGATCAAATTTACCAGTTCTATTTATATAATATCCTTGAACATAATTAAAAGTAATCAGCAGTCAGCAATTATCCATGAAATAAGATATCCAAATTATTAAGGGTAAATTACACCATTCCTCATTATACTTTACTCTCTCCTATTTCTTTCACTATACTTTCGATCTTTCTAATTTCCTCACTGAACTTTGGAATTATTCCTATTTTGCTCACTGTGAATTATTTTATTATTATTTTTATATGACATGACATTTATTACTATTATTAAAATATAAAATAAAAACAAACGGTGGTTGTCCACTATTCGTCGGCATTGGACACCACAGTCGGCCACTGTAGATGGTGGTTATTTGTTTTCAGATTTCATGGGTCGCTTCGCTTTGACCCTTTGAGTCCGAATCTGGTAGTTGTTTCACTGGAAAATGTCCCAAAACCTGTGAATCTCAATGGAAACATTTCAGTTTTCTCACTTTTGATCTCTAATTCGTGAACTTCATAGCATATTATGACAAAAGAGGTCAGATTCAAACTCAGGGAGTCGATACGAAGCGACCCATGAAATTTGAGACCGAAACAACCACCATCTACGATTGTCGACGATGGAGTTCAAAGCCGACGAATAGTGGACAACCACCATCGATTTTTATTTTATGTTTTAAATTATTTTAATATTAAATAACAATAAAAAACCACATCATATGAAAATAATAATAAAATAATTCAAAAGTGAGCAAAATAGTAACAATCCGAAAGTTCAATGAGGAAACTAGAAAAATTGAAAGTACGGTGAGTGAAATAGGAGAGAGTGTGAAGTTTAGTGAGGAATGGTGTATTTTATCCAATTATTAATCACGATATATAGTAAATTCTAAAGTAATACATTGCATTTATAAACTAAAAACATTTTGGAGTCACATTTAGGATGTCCTTTGATCATAAAATCTAAACATCGACTACCGTATGGAGAAGTACAGCATAGCAAATAACCCACATCAACATCACAGAGGTTGGACAAAAAGAAAACACAACAGAGAAGAAAACAAAAGTTGAAACAAAAACATAGCACACTTCTGACACCAAAGAGAACACAGCTGCAGCTAAATCCATGCTTGGATCATGAAGTCTCTGTCCGCTTCTGCTTTGGCAAGGCATTGAGCCAAACAAACATCAAGTGTTTCCAGCATAAAAGATAACATTTTTTAGAATATTTCCCCACATTTAACTACATCGAAAATTATGGAAGTTACTGCTTATGATAAGAGAGAACTGTATATATGGTTTGTAGCACGGTAACTAGGAGCAATACAACCGCAGCAACAAACGAACAAAGCGACCAGGGAGAGTTGAAATAATCTTTCTTCAGTATCGCCATATATTTGTTCCACTTTCTCTTGCAATGCTCGTTCACCCTAACAAATGTCTCGGCATAGTAGAAGTCGTCTGTAAAGCATATGAAGTCACGAAGTTTATTAAACATTTGCGCAACTACCTCATCATCCCCTAACCAGTTATCAATAATTCCATTGTTGCAGAGTAATTGCACATCCTTGCCGGTGTTGATGAGATTATCCATGAACACCACATAATCAGAAACATAAGTTGGTTCCCCGATTCGAGTGAATTGTTCGTAGGCCATGAAATTACGCAGGACACGCTCTGTATTATCGTCGACGTGTAGGGTTGGAATCTTCAATACCTTGGTCTCTTTTGTGAAAGTTATATCAAATAAGCTCTTTATGTCTTCCTCCTTTTTGTTATCTTCTAACACCTTCTCGCCTAGGAAACCGATCCCTGCATCTTCCAGTTCTGTAGCACTGCGTATGAACTTCCATGAACTGTCAGATTTTTGTTTCACTTCTACTTTAAATCTCTGGTGTTGCCTTATTCCTGGAGGGGAAGGACGACAACAACTATGTACCAAGTCTAAAAGATGCTTTATATCTTTTGCAGGAGAGGTATAGCTTCCATTTCCAGACCATATATGCGATACTTGCAGTGCTTGGAAAAAATAAATGGCTGAACGAGCGAACTCATCGAGATCTCCTTCACCATTTCGCATTATCATGCAATCCAACTTGAAAAGCACAAAGAAAGGAAGCTGATTTTCTAACAATAACAAATCATACCACATGTCAGTTTGACTATGTCTAGCTAGATTGTAAAGAACTTCTGGATAAATATTGCGGATTAACTGAACAATGAAGCATCCATCGTAGACCATCATTTCTACCAAATTGTCACATTGGTCAATAGGTCCTTTATAGCATTTGCGAACTTGTTCTTCTAAGGCTATCATGGCCTTTAAAAATTCACTGAATTCAAGTTTGGTTACCTCAACTATCTGATCAAAGCAACTTCGTTTGACAACTTCCATTGCCTTCAAGTGTTTCTTATTATGATGATACGGACCAATTGAAATCACATTTGGTTCGTAGGCTATTTTCTTTACTTTTCGCAGTCGATGAGGCACTTCATAAATTGCACACTCTACCTGTTAAAATGGTGGGAGAGAAAATTAATACGTTAATTAAAAGAAAAAAAATAAGTAAATAATATTAAATAAGAAATTCGCATTGTTTGATGTCGTAACAATAAAATTTATACAAATCATAGTACTTAAACTATTTATAATCTTGATCCCATCAAGTGTCCTCAGTGGTAAAAGGAAATGGTGTTATTTCTAGAGATTCTGGGTTTGAACAGTTGCATCTATAGGGTGTTTATATTGTCATACAGTTAAGAAAGTTGTAAATGATTTTTCTCATTCTTTTCGACCTTGGTTTCGTAGGAGCATTTTAGAAAGATTGAGAAATAGAACCATCTGATTTGATTTGTTCTCAATAGCAATGAGATGATTATCTTAAGGTGATATTTTTGTCGGATGATCTTATTACACTCGTGGTCTCTGAAGGATGAGAACCAACTATGTAGCATCTACATCGAGAATTCAAGTATTATACGTCATTAGTCTAATCCTTTGTAAGAACTACTCGTAATAATAAGTTTACAAAATGGATCTGTTCACCTTAATTGTTATTTGAATAAAACAAGAGTTCAAACATCTCAAAGATAAATAGAGAAGTATATACTTATCGAATGAACCACACTTCTTCATATACGTTAGGAGTCCATTGGTGAGAAGGGGTTTGGGAAAGTTTGAATGAACCTAAACTTTTTAAGAGATATACCTTATAATCATTTCAAACTATTTGAATAAAAATACTTATCATCTTTTAGTCTTAATTAAAAGTAATCAGTTACTACATATATTTTAATTACAACCTTTTAAATATTGGAATAACATATCCAACACTAATGACACATAAATTCATAATACAAAAGAAGTAACTAAGATATAACACAAAACATTATATGATACGGGAAAATTGTGGCATGGACAAGAAGCGAATGATTGAATATATCAAAATAACACATAACTTCCTAAATTTTTTTCCAACTTTTTACTTCATTTTTCCACATACACCTTTGGTGTATTTAATCTTTGTTTCTTTTATTAGTTCTTTGATTCATGCATAGTAATTTTCCAAGTACCTCTCTGGAAGGTCGATCAGTCTCTGGCGTAGGTTCAGGCTCAGAAATGGCAGAACCAAGCTCTATATCAGGCGAACGCCAACGCCGACGCCAACTATTAATCATATTGCGCGCACTCCATAAATTAAACACAGTGGCCGCACTTGCGATCTCCTCCATGATCTAACATACAATGATCCTAAAACAATAAATTGTCATGAGAAATCATACCAGATCTTCCAACTATTGGCAGTGCAACAAATCTAACATCAAGATGCTATTATGTTGACGAGTGGTAAATTAAAGTAAGACGAAGAAGAATTTATGACTGGCAAAGTAGAGTAAAACAAACCTTTGAATTACAATAAGATGCTTAAAGACGTAAATGGAGGGCGTCGACTGACTTCATCACTGTCACTTACCTAATACGAAATTTTTATATTTTTGATAAATTTAATGGTAAACTATGTGAATAGTCTCTTATGTTTTCAGTCTGACCGACTTTGCTCACTAATTTAAAAATTAAGGTGAAATGATCTCTAACATTATCGATTCGTTCGACTTTAATCCCTAATGTTAACGATCCCTTCAATTTTAGTCCCTTAGCCATTAACTCTCATTCAATTTTAGTCCCTAAACCATATTAAGAACTTAAACAAAAGGGTGTTAACGGAAATTATTAGCAGAAGAACTTAAATCAGAAGGACCGGTAATGTGAGGGATCATTTAAACTTGATTTTTAAATTGGTAACCAAAATTGGTGAGACCCTAAACAAAAAAAACTATTCGCATATTTTACCCTAAATTTAATATAAACCATTACAAATAGGGTAAATTATGCATTTCGTACCTAAACTATCAGTTTCAATATGTTAATACCTAAACTTTCAAAATTTTCAAAATATCATTAAAAATTAATTTTTGTTTCAATTTAATACCCCGTCATTAAAAATTTAACATGTTTAGTACCTAAACTATGAGTTTTGTTCCCTTTTAGTACCTAAATTTTTAATTTTTTTCAAAACTTAAGTGTGATTTAGGTACTAAACGTGTTTTGGTAGCCATACTTTCATTTTTTTAAAAACTTAATGACGGGTACTAAAATAAAATAAAAAATAAAATTTAGGTATAGTTTTCAAAAAATTAAAAATTTAAGTACTAAAACAAATCAAAATTGATAGTTTAAATACTAAATTCATAGTTTATCCTTAAAACTAAGCCAGCATGTATACAGCGAAGATGAGATGCACGTCGAGATCCACGCCAAACTCATTATATAAAGAATAAATTACATCTTTAGTCATTAAACTATCTTTTCGCATTTATTTCGGTCATTAAAATTTAACTTTATTATTTTATCTGAGTTATTGTTTTTCTCTTGTAGTAAAGGTAAATTTTTAAGTTTGACCACATATTAATTTATATAAAAAGCAATGTTATTAAAACTGGACCTGATCGGCCAGTTCGATCGGTTGAACCGTGAATCGGTGGCCTGTCCGGTCCCGTTAACTCCCAAAACCGGATTAGCACAGAACCGGTAAAGAACCGAAAGAACCGGCTGAAAACCGGGAAAACTGGGGTGAACCGGCTGAAAACATGCAAAACCGGTTTGAACCGCCGGTTCACTTTTTTTCTTTAAAAAAAAATTAAACCAAACAACGTCGTTTGTTCAATGAGCCGAGTCAAATTCGAGTATTGCTGAGCTCAACTCGAACTCGAAAACTTTAAAAGTAAGCTCAACTCGACTCAAAAACTCACGAGCTAAAAATTATCAACTTGAAATATAATATTAAAACTTGAAATCGAAAAGGCTCGAACTCAAAAAAAAAATTAGAAGTTCGATTGAAGCCTAAAATTTGAGCTCAATTGAAGCGAAAGAATAGTTCGCTTTGTGCTCACCAAAAGGCTCCATGATTTTGAACGTCAAATTACCTCTATTATTTATAGAAGTAAGTTGGAATGCTCTTATATGTTTCTTAGCCATGTGGGATTGTTTTGTTCTCATATTTTTATTCTTTAAACTTTTGGGATACTTTTCTATGTTTCTTAGCCATGTGAGATTGTTTTTTTTAAAACAATTAAACCAAATGACATCATTTGTTATGATTTTTTTAAACCCCAATTTTATTTTTTTGATTATAGTTATATAATTATATTTATTATTTAATATGTTTTACCTTAAATATTATGTTGTAGTTGATTTGAATCATTTTGTTTCACTTGATTTTATGGTTTTTCATTTATACATGTTATGACTTGTGATATTTTTATATCTTTTAATATTGTAAACTTAAAAAAAGTGTTACATATATATTAATATTGCTTTGAATATTATGTAAAATTAAAAAAATATATTATTTTATATAAAATCCGGTTCAACCGCGGTTGAACCCGGTTGAACCAGTGAACCAATACCTTCACCGGTTTAATGTCCGATCCGGTTTTGAAAACATTGATAAAAAGAGAAAAAAAATATAAAATCATCTATAAAAGGTGATCATAGATTGGAACAAATTTAATGAGATAAAGTATTATTTTTATTATGATATGAAAAATTTATTAATATTTAATACCAAATAGAATTTAAAATAAAAAATAAAACATCTTTAGTTTTTTATTAAACTAAAGGTTATTATAAAATAATATATATTCTAAGTAATTTTAACTATTTAATAATTAATACTCAAAAATAATAGATTAAGTGCTAAATACGTTGTTTATCCTTCAAACTAAGCCAGCATGTATACAACTAAGCTGAGATGCACGTCAAAATCCACGCCAAACTTCATTATATAAAGGATAAATTACATCTTTCGTCATTTAATTATCTTTTCACATTTATTTAGGTCATTAAAGTTTAACTTTATTATTTCATCTGAGTCATTATTTTTCCCGTATAGACTAAAGGCAAAGTTTTAAGTTTGACCACATATTAAGTTATATAAAATGAGGAAAAAAGATAAAATCATTTATAAAAGGTGATCATAGATTGGAACAAATTTAATAAGACGAATAGAGTATTATTTTTATTATGAAATGAAAATTTTATTAATATTTAATATCAAATAGAAAATAAAAAATAAAATCTCTTTATTTTTTTACTAAACTAAAAGTGATTATAGAGTAGTATATGTTTTAAGTGCTTTTAATCATTTGACAATAAACACTCAATCACCCTTATTGCTGATACTTGAACCCTTGACTTCTAGAAACAATAACAATTCCTTTAACCACTGAGGTAAATTGGTTATTTCATGCAAAAATCTCTTATTTAAATCTTTAAAATCCCAACCCCACCTCCATCAACTTTAACATTCCAAACCCAAAACCTTATCCATCACCCCAATCCCAATTCTAGATCTTTCTTATTCCTCAAATGAAAAAACGTTTTCTACTAACATAAAAGAATAAACATAAATTCATAGAAGAAATTAAATGAAAACAAATTTTGTAAACAAAAAAAGTAATCTATGCAAATAATTCCTTTTGTTAGAGTTTGACCGGATTTGGTCACCAATTTAAAAATTAAGGGTAAATGGTCCCTCACATTATCGGTTCATTTGACTTGAATCCCTCTGTTATTAATTTCCATTAACCTGCATTTATTTAAGTCCCTAACATGGTTGATGGATTAAAATTGAACTCCAGTTAAAGGTTGAGTGACTAAAATCGAACGAATCAATAACATTAGGGATTAAAATCAAACAGATTGATAACTTTAGGGACCATTTCTCCTTAATTTTAAATTAGTGACCAAAGTCGGTCAGATGAAAATATAAGGGACTATTCACATAGTTTACCCTAAAATAAAAAAAGCTAATTGAAATCACATTTTTACTATGAAATGAAAATTTTATTAATATTTAATATCAAATAGAATTTAAATCTCTTTATTTTTTTTATTATACTAAAGGTGACTATAAAATAGTATATGTTCCAAGTACTTTCAACTATTTGACAATTAACACTAAAAAATGATAGTTTAAGTACTAAATACGTAATTTATCCTTAAAACTAAGCATCATGTATTCAGCTAAGGTGAGATGCACGTCGAGATCCACGCCAAACTTTATTATATAAAGGATAAATTACATCTTTATCATTTAATTATCTTTTCACATTTATTTAAGTCATTAAAGTTTAACTTTATTATTTCATATGAGTCATTATTTTTCCCTCATAGACTAAAGGCAAAGTTTTAAGTTTGACCACATATTAAGTTATATAAAATGACAAAAAAGATAAAATTATATATAAAAGGTGATCAAAGATTGGAACAAATTTAATAAGATGATTAATGTAATACCCCAAATATCAGGTTAGTTACTTTAGTGAGAAGTTTTAAAATTTGAGGATTTATTTAAATAAATGATAAAAGATGGGAAAATGATTTGGAATAGTGGTTTAGAATAAATTGTAACAATAAATAAATTAAGAGGGCATTTAGGTCCTTTAAATGAAAATGAATTTAAAATTCATTTTTATTAAGGTATTAAAGAAAAGGGGAAAGAGGAAAAATAGGTTACCAAAAGCTATTTATTTTCTTCCTCCTTTATGTGGAAAACTCTTATCCATAGCCAAAGGTATGGTTTCATTGGGCTAGCTTTTCCTTTCGTTTTTTGGTTGGTTTTTGAATCATTGAGTATTGCAGAGGTTTAAAGAAGGGTTAAATAAGAGTAAAACTAAAGGTTGGATGAAATATTTGAGATTTAGTAAAATGGGTTTTTGAATGATGTGTTAAGATATGAGTTTTTATTGATGTTTATTGGTATATTTGACTTGTCAATGAAGTAAAAGATTAGAAGCATTGGATGGGTTTAAAAACATGTTAGAAAAAGTGGTATGATTCTTGGATTGAAGTGTTCCTTAGATATTGTAGATGTTATAAGTAGTTAAATGAAGGAAAGTTAGTTGGGATAAGTAAAGAAGAGTTTGATAGTATTGTTGGAGGTAAAAATAAGGGAAATTTGCCAAATGTGGGTAAATATCGGGCTGAAAATGGAAAATTTGGGTAAGGGTATCGGTACTAGAAGAACAATACCAATATTATAAGCTTAAAATGGGAAGAATCAGTCGAGCAATATCGATACTTATGCAAGTAGTATCGATACTGAGAGGGGTATCGATATTATGAGGAAGGTATCGACACCATTGATAACAAAATGCAGAAATGGTATCGATACCGTAATAGAGTATCAGTACCATAGTATAGTAGTATCAATACCATGGTAAGGGTATCGATACTATTGAGCCAGAAATTGTAAAATAAGTTGAGATTGTTATAGAAAATTTAATAATAGTACTTTTGAGTATTGTTTAA